CACAAGTTACCTATGAGGCTGTGACAAAGGTAAATACTCTTTCTTCGTCCTTCTCAAACTGTCTGCAGTCTTTGACAAAGCTAACTCCATCATTCTCCTCCCAACGAACACCTTCTGTGCTCCAGCTGGATGGAGCTGCTCTCCTCTGGTTCCATTCTTAAATATCCAACCAGAGTATCAATTGCAGTGGTTTCTCTTCCCACTCCTGCACCATTACATCTGGAGTTCACAAGGATCAATCCTTTGCTTCCACTGTGTCTCATACATATGCAGCCTCTCAGTGACACCACATTAGCACTAAAATAAATGCTGACACTCAAAACTATGATGCCACCATTCTCTCAATTCCTCCTCTGTTGCTAAGCTATCAGTTTGCTTATCCAACACTCAATGCTGCAAAATCAAGGTTTCCTCCAATTAAAAACTGGAAACACAAACTATTGTTTTTAGTACTTGTTACAAACTCATTTCCCTAGCTATGACTCCATCCGTGTTCCTGGCAAAAGTCTGAGACTATTACATAACTTGCACTTACATAATATCTGTAGCATAGTAAGGTGTCTAAAAATGCTTCACTCCACAGTGCTATCAAACACAATTTGACACTGAGGTACATAAAGAGACATGAGGGTGGAGTTAATAATGTGGTTACAAAGGTTGGTTTAAGGTAGACTTTAAAAGGAGGACTGAGAGAGGCAGAGGGGTTTAGGAAAAATTGCAGAGTTTAGGGCTTAAGCAACTGAAGACACGACCAGTAATGGTAGAGTGATTTCAATTGCAGAAGCACTGGAGGCGAGAATTAGAGGGGTGCTGAAATCTCAGAGAGATGTAGAACTCCAAGTGGTTACAAAGAATGGGAGGAACATGGCCATAAAAGGGATCTGTAAACATGATTGCTCGGCACTTGCTTCTTCATACTTTATTTAAGATATTGGTAGACTTGAAAACACTATATCCAATCTACAGAAGATAAATGTGCGAGCATTTATAGATGTCATGTGATCCAATATTATACAGTTGAATGTCACATATTCAGAATATCACATGATCAAACTTCCAACCAGAGCTGGCAAACACAACATAGGCACACACACTTCTGTGTGCACATGCAGGAACACACGCAAACACATACAGAGGACCTTCCCTTGGGCTTCAAAACACGAGTGTTGGGACCAATGGCAGACCTCTCATATATTAGAATTGATCTTTCTCTGCAGCTGTAAACACTATATTCTGCATTCTGTTCTATTACTCTGATGTACATATGTAAGGTACGATTTGTCTGGATAGTACACAAAACAACACTTTTCACCGTATCTTGGCACATGTGACAACAATAAGTCAAATCAATGGAGGAGGTTTCCGAACTAGAACTTGGAACCAGAATAAGGAAGGGGCTGTTTTCCAGAAGGTGGCCTAATGGTTTGTTTCTTATTCACAGTCCAATAAATTTTGAAAGGTAGGCTTTTGATGCTGTAGGCCCAATCAGAGGGCCACTAGCTCCAGAACCTTGATAGACACATGGCAAGGAGTGGGTTCTGCTGAGGCAAGCACCACAAAACGGAGGCAGCTTCAGAAACATACATTTAAACTATGAATACAGAGAGGCAAGCAAGAGGTCCTCACAGCAGAGAACAAACCCCTTTTGGCAGCAGTGTCTGGGCCATGGGTATGGTGGCAGACCCCTCTTTGTGGAATGGAATTTCTGCCTGTGAACGTTCCTCAGTTTGTGTACGTTGTGGTGGGGGAGGGGGCTGCTCATTTGCTCTCAAAATACCAGTTGCCCTCTAAATCACATGCCATTGGGACCTTAATTATTTAAGTTTGTTTCCCTCCCGCATTCAGTGGGCAGATGTATCCTTGCCCACCTCTGAGAAATGTCCCCAGTGACAGCAGTGTGTTGGGGAGTAGTCCCAATCTGAGCTCCTTGCTATTTCCAGCCAGCCTATCTTCATGCTCGACACGTAAGGCCAGAAAATCTCTGTCCCTAAAATAGATTCGTATTGATAGACATCTAAAGTAAATTCACAACCAATAAAATACTTTTGAAGTTTAATCACTGTTGCAATATAGAAAATCTGGCAGCGAACTTGCACAGAAGTAACAGTGTGGAGCTGGAGGAACACAGAAGGCCAGGCAGCATCAGAGGAGCAGGAAAGCTGACGTTTCGGGTCAGGACTCTTCTTCAGAAGTGGGGGAGGGGAAGGGGGCTCTGAAATAAATAGACAGGGTGGGGGGATTAGGCCGGGAAAGTTAGTTGGTATGGTGATAGCAGGTAGGAAGTGGTAGGAATTGATCAGTGAGGTGGGAGGAGCAGATTGGTGGGAGACAAGACGGACAGGTGAAGGAAGCGGGGTTGAGAGGGAGGGTTGGTCTTGGGATGAGGTTGGGAGTGGAGAGATCTTGAAGCTAGTAAAGTCCACATTGAGACCATTGGGTTGTAGGCTTCCAAGGTGGAATATGAGGTGCTGCTCCTCCAGTTGTTGTGACACTGGAGGAGACCCAGGATGGACATATCGTCCAGGGATTGGGAGGGGGAGTTGAAGTGGTTTGCAACTGGGAGGTGTTGTCGTTTGTCACGAACTGAGCGTAGGTGTTCTACAAAGTGGTCTCCGAACCTCTGCTTGGTCTCACCGATGTAGAGGAGGCCACATCAGGAACAGCGGATATAATAGACCACATTAGCTTATGTGCAGGTGAACATCTGTCTGACATGGAAGGTTTTTTTGGGGCCTGGGATGGAGGTGAGGGGGGAGATGAGGGGGGTGGTGTAGGGGCAGGTGTAGCACCTCCTGCGGTTGCAGGGAAGGGTGCCTGGGGTGGTGGGGCTAGTGGGGAGTGTGGAGCAGATGTGGGAGTCACGGAGAGAGCAGTCCCTCCAGAAGGCAGATAAGGGTGGGGAGGGAAATATACTTTTCGTAGTGGGGTCGGATTGCAGATGGTGGGAGTGGCAAAGAATGATGCTTTAAATCCGGAGGTTAATGGGGTGATACGTGAGGACAAGGGGAATTCTGTCTTTGTTTTTATTGCGGGGAGGGGGTGTGAGGGCTGAGGTACGGGAAACGCAAGAGACGCGGTCGAGGGCGTTTTCAACCACTGAAGAGAGGGAAGTTGTGGTCCTTGAAATACGAGGACATCTGGGATGTTCGAGAAGGGAACGCCTCATCTTGGAAGCAGATGCGGCACAGGCGGAGGAATTGGGAGTACGGTATCGCATTCTTGCAGGAAGGCTGGTGAGAGGAGGTGTAGTCTCGGTAGCTGTGGGTGCTGGTGGGCTTGAAATAGATATCAGTTTTGAGGTGGTCACCTGAGATGGAGGTGGAGACAGAGAGGTCCAGGAAGGAGAGAGTGGTATCAGAGATGGTCCAGGTGAACTTGAGGTTGGGGTGGAAGGCGTTAGTAATGTGGATGAACTGTTCAAGCTCCTTTTGGGAGAACGAGGCGGCGCCGATACAGTCATCGATGTAATGGAGGAAGAGGTAGGATATAGTGCCAGTGTAGCTGCGGAAGAGGACTGTTCCACATCCCGACCTGAAATGTCAGCTTTCCTGCTCCTCTGATGCTGCCTGGCCTGCTGTGCTCCTCCAGCTCCACAGTGTTATCTCTGACTCCAGCCTCGGCAGTTCTTACTATCTCTCTTGCACAAAAGTAAACTCCCACAAATATCAATGTGACCATGACCACCTAACTCTGTTTTCTCATGACATTGATTCGGGGTTAACTATTGGCCAATAAATCCAGCTTTATTTCCCTGCTCTTTTTCAAATCAAAACAGTGCAGCAAGATCTATTACAGAGAGATCAGTTTAACATCTCAAGCAAAAACCAGTACCAATGGTAAATTCAACATTCCCTCAGAATCACATTTGATTCTTAGTGTAGATTTATGTGTTTGATCCCTGGAGGGAGTTTGAACCTGGTTCAGGATTCAAACCTGGAGCCTTATGACTCAGAGGCAGACACAAAGACTCACACACACACAAATAAGAGTAAAATACTGTGGATGCTGGAAATCTGAAACAAACACAGAAAATACTGGAGAAACACATCAGCTTTGGCAGCACTTGAAGAGAAAGCTGTTTCGAGTTCAGTATGGCTCTCCAGCAAAACTCAAGACCTGCTGAGGTTGTTCAGCATTTTCTGTGTTTCTTCCATGCACACGTACATGGACAGATAAATACATGGACAGGGGGACACATGCACAGTATTGGTCCAGTTCTGGAAGGTGCACTTTAGAATGGGAGTGAAGGCGTTGCAGAGAGAGCAGAAGAGGTTTATATGAATAATTCCAGCCATGGCTGAGGACTTTCAAGAATGAAGATAAACTGGAGATTCTGGGAGCAGAGAAGGCTGAACGGAGATCGGGTTGAAATGCTCAAAACGAGGAGAGGTCTGGACAGAGTGAAGAGAGAGAAAAAAGAACCGGAGGGGTCAGACTACAAAGCAAAAGGGAAATGAGGAAAAGCTTCATAACACTGAGTGGTTAGGGTGTGAAATACACTGCCTGAGAGTGTGGAGGAGGCGGGTTCAAATCGAGGCACTCAAAACGGACATAGATGGTTGACATAACAAGGTGTAGAGCTGGATGAACACAGCAGGCCAAGCAGCATCACAGGAGCAGGAAGGCTGACGTTTCGGGCCTAGACCCTTCTTCAGAAATCTTCAGAAAATGGTTATTTGAAAAATGCACAGGGTTACAGGAGAAGGCACTCGGTGATCTGTTCGTTTGTTGAGCTGGCACAGAGATGATGGACCAAATATCCTCCCCCTCCCCCCGCGCCCCCAATGTACACTGTAATGATTCTGTGATTCATACAGAATGAGACACAGACAAGAAAAGTGCACAGATTTCGAGACAGAGAAACATAACATCCGCACAGCGACACAGTTCATTCATTTACTGCCAAGACACGTCAGTCAATTGAGAACGTAATAACGTGACGCTGGAACGAAAAATGAACGGAAGAATTCAACCGGTGAATTTAAAAGTAAGTCTCTTACCTTCAGAGATAGCAGGAACTGCAGATGGTGGAGAATCTGAGATAACAAGGTGTAGAGCTGGATGAACACAGCAGGCCAAGCAGCATCAAAGGAGCAGGAAACCTGATGTTTCAGACCTAGACCCTCCTTCCGGATACTAACCCTAACCCTCTTACCTTCAGCTTGTCAGTAAACAGCTCTGGGAAGAAGAGCCATGATTGGCTCGATGGGTTCAAACGTCAGGAAAGGTGGAGACTGAAGGCACAAAGCGAGGGTGGGTCAGTCAAACCCTCCACCCTGAGGCATTGTTTCAGCTTCGATTGAGTTTTATTGAGGACATCGAATGACAAAGAATAAAATAAATCAGGAATTTTAGGAAACTAACAGTTGACACACGCAAGCAGCATTCCCTGATTCCTGGAGGCGCCGGTTCATCGGTTATAGCTTGCGCTCGGTAAAAACAACTTGCATTTACGCAGCGCCGCAAAACTATTTGCTTCCAATGAAACATGTTTCAAGTGCAGTCGCTTTAAACTGTCAGCAGAAAGCGGTGCTGCCGACAGAGCCGCTCTCTCAGCGCTGAAACGAACACCGGTTTAACCGTTTTCAATGTGCAGCCCACGGACTCGCTGTAAAATGCCTGCGGGAAGTTTAAATTTTCAATGCGCTGTTCCCCACAATTCCAGTTTATCACCTGGGCTACTTCCTAATCGAGGAAACGTCCGACCAGGGCATTCTATAAGGCTTTTATAAGATAACACACTGTGGAGCTAGAGGAACACAGAAGGCCAGGCAGCATCAGAGGAGCAGGAAAGTTGACGTGAGAGAGATGGTAGGAACTGCAGATGATGGAGAATCTGAGATAAGGTGTAGAGCTGGATGAACACAGCAGGCCAAGCAGCATCGGAGTAGCAGGAAAGCTGACGTTTCGGTTCTAGACCCTTCTTTCTCGACCCGAAACGTCAGCTTTCCTGCTTGGCCTGCTGTGTTCATCCAGCTCTACACCTTGTTATCACAGGATAACCTGAACCGCTTTAGTAAAGGCGAGTTTATTTTGTTGCATTAATTTGGGCATTGCCACTATTCAACATGGTGCAAACTTGGGAAATCTTCATGATCATTTGAAAGTAATTAAGGAGAGGTTAGAGACACCCAAATCAAAGCAAATTCCTGCGCAAGAAGTCAATTATCCTGCCACAACCCAACAGAACTTGCCTCCAACCCCACCACCAACACAGCTGCCGCCCTATCCATACCTCTCCCCCTACCCTTACTCCCTCAGACACCTCCACAGTCACTCAACCATTCACACATACATTAATACACAGCACCTGTTTCAATACTCCCAAATATTTTCAGTTTGTTAGCAAACACTTACCAGAATACAGTAGCCACTGCTATAAATTATGGGCATGACTTCAGAAGAGATTTTCTCCACTACGCTTCTTGAATGCTGCAAGATCTTCCATTGGAACCAGATTAATTAAGGAAGGTAGATCGGTATTTAGGGGCTCCCACTGTGAGGAAGGTTTGGGCGTCTGGATTGTGGATTGTGACCTCACTTTTTGAAGTGGGGCATGACTCTCTTGACTCAGTGAGAGCCTTTCTTCTGTCATACTGTCACTCCTTGACCTGAACTGATCCCCAGTTCTCCTCAATACTCACAGTCCCCTCTCTCTAGCATTCTCACCACTCTAGTACGTTTAGCTCCTCTCATACTGTCATCCCCCAATATTCAGTTAACAATAATACTCTTCTCCGTACACACTGTCACTCCTTTTCTCAAATACTGTCACCTCTCACATATTTTCTCACCCCAAATCCCCACGTCTAAAACAATCTTCAAAAGGAGCTAGGACAATTGTGCCCTTAGTTCCTGGAGCTGGTGGGATGAAAAGCTCACTGTGCAACCTAATGTTAGAACAAACAATCTTGAGTCATGCAGAAGTAGAACTGTGGGGTAATACATGGACAGTCAATGTCATGATCACTGGGCAACTATGGGGTGCCCATTGTGTTAAAACTGCTGTATTGTCAGTAACACAACAGCCAATATACACACAGCAACAAAAACAAAGTTGCTGGAAAAGCTCAGCAGGTCTGGCAGCATCTGTGGAGGAGAAAACAGAGTTAACGTTTCGGGTCCGGTGACCCTTTCTCAGAACTGACATACACACAGCAAGGTCATCCTGACCAAATAAATCTTGTTTTTATAATAAAGGATGAGGGATACATATTGGTAAGGACATTGGAGGAAACTTCTTTTCTGTGAACAATGTCACAGGATCTTTTATGTTCACCTGAGAGAATCAACAGGCCGTGGTTTATGCATCATCTGAAAGGTGGCAGTTCTGACAATGTAACCGTCCCTTAGTAATCTACTGGAATATCAACCTTGATTTGGCACTTGTGACTTTGGAATGTGGCCAGAACTCTCAACCTTTGACTTAGAAGTGAGTGGGAATACATTGAGCCACAGCTCAGAAACATAATCTATTATTCTTAACACCACTGCTCTGCATTCAGTATAATGTTAAAATACCCCATTAATCCTAATAACATTGTCTACACAGTACAAAAAGTATCATACACTATTGTTCCTATTCACACTGCTCCATGTATAGCATAGAATAAGGAATATGTTATATCTTCTGTCTTGGATCACCAGGACAGGAACTCAAGGCCTTGATTTAACATCTCACCTGAAAAGTGGCAGCTTCAACAGGACAACACACCCTCAGTACAGCATCTAGATTATGTGCCCGATTCCTGGGCTGCGATTTGAACAGTGAGCTAAAGAGACAATAGGGATTGCAACTGCAGTTAAATTAACAAGAAATGCATCAATGTGTTCATGTGAAGCCTTGGTTTAAAATATTCACTGTGTAAAGATCTTCAAGCACAGGGTAGAGGAACTTTGTGAGAACATTTTAATATGATGATTAAAAACCAAAAGAACTGCGGATGCTGTAAATCAGGAACAAAAACAAAGTTGCTGGAAAAGCTCAGCAGGTCTGGCAGCGTCTGTGGAGGAGAAAACAGAGTTAACGTTTCGGGTCCGGTGACCCTTCCTCAGAACTGACATACATACAGCAAGGGTCACCAGACCCGAAACGTTAACTCTGTTTTCTCCTCCACAGATGCTGCCAGACTTAATATGATGATTCCCACCCACACATCAGTATTTCCTGAGGAAGGGGAAAGGATTTCCAAACCTCAAAACAACATCATGTATGAATGTCACCTGTTCAGTTTGAAGCCTGGTTATCAGGCTTAAAAATCAAATTTATTTTACTCAGAATGCAGCTTGGATAGTCAGTATCCTTGTTAAGAAGATACCTCATTGTGAACTGGAAACAACAACTGCATTTACATATTGCCATAACATAGTAAAGGGTCCTAGAGTGTTTCGCAGGTATAACATTAAACAAATTATTCACGCTGAGCCATGTTAAGTGTTCTTAGGATAGATGATTAACAGCTTAATCAATAAGATAGGCAGTGAAGAGATTTTAAGAATGAATTCCAGAGCATAGATCATGAGTTAAGCATTAGGCTGGGGATTAAATCTGATATCCAGATCTGTATGTGGTAATGACTCCCTTCACTAGTTAAGCCAATGCAGGTCCTGTCCACACACCTTGGTATTTGGTCCGAGGACAGTGTTTCCCAAATGTTTTCCTATTGTGAACCCATTTTAATGCCTCAGACTTCATGTGACCCAGAGTGAAAATTTGGGGCATGGCATATGAAGGCAGCTGAGGATAGGCTTCAATTTCTGAGAGGCTGCAAAAGGGTTCCTTTAATTTTTGACTGGAAATCAACAGGAGTTGAGTGTTGATGAAAAAGCAAAGTTTCTCCAACAAAAAAACTAACTTTTCACAGGAAGTTTTGCAGCAGTAATCGAGTCTCAGAGAGCAGTCAGTTAAAGCAAAACCACCTATAGGAAAAAGTCTGAGCATTTAAAGGGGCCTCGCAGATGTCAGAAATCAGTCTGAACTCCACAGCAGCCATTGCTGTGACAACATGCAAGCCCAAAATTTTGTCTCATGATCACACTGGGGAATGTGTGGTAACCTACAATTGCCCTAGTATTTTGTACCTATATGGACAAAGAAGACAATCACTGTACAGTTCAGTTCAGAGAAGCTAAGCTTTCCTGTCACATGTTTGATTTGACAGAGCTGTTTGACGAGTAAAATGCCATCAGAAATTCTAATCTATGGGCCCCACAGGCTGTATGTGCTGAGGGTAAAGCTTGGAGCAGATGCCACAATGACTCAAGGGAAAAGACTACAACGTCCAACCCCTCCTACCTTAGTAGACTGAGAAGCTGGAAACCATATAAAAGTCTCACAAATTCTGGAATAATTGAGACTGCACCACAGTATGTTTCACGTTAATATATTTTGTAAATATAACCTCTAATTGTTGGTGTAGGGAAACGTGACAGAGCATGATATTTTATGTAATTTCAAATTTGAACTGTTATGTAATGAGCATTTATAAATTTTGTGAATAAAGCATTTTTAAAAAGAAAAATTCTTGCTTTTGAATGTGGTTCAGTTACCGGTACTGGAAAGTCTGTGGGCTGCGTACATTTGCAACATTGGGCATGCTAATCTCTGATCTCCAGATAGGCCAACAGTTATTGAACTGTTCTCCACCTTCATGTGCCGATAGTGAATGTTGGCTGACTATTGAATCCTAACAGTTTGATTTTTAACTTTTTGTTATGATCCCTGTTGATGGTCATACTGGACAAGTCAGATTTCAGAGTGAAATTCTTCAAATTCCCAGAATGGATTGATTGAGCACAAGTTATATTTTTGCAGTTTGGTTACTGTAGTGGTCAGCCATTGAGTATAAGGCTGTCAATTTGCTCTTCATGAAAGAACATAAGTTTATAACACAGAAGAAAATCAGATCAGTATATATAGATAATTTGGCAAGATCTTATAAGGATCATGGAAAGATTCAACCCTTTACTCCCAGCAACATTCCTTACAGACACTCAACCCTAATCCTATCTTCACTTCCTAATTTCTCACTGAATTAATAAACTTATA